GTAGAATTGTACAGTAAGAAAGTTATTTCCCTTAACCCGGAAATTAACGTTCTTAGAATTGACAAGACAGTTGACCCTGAGAGGTCAGCTAAATATCTACAGCGGATCTAAATATTCATAATTAATTATAACTAGTTATGATTAATTATTCATATTTCCCATGAGCTGATTCGTTACAGCGGTAACCAAGGAAACACTATCATTGCTGTTCACAGCGGTAACCAAGGAAACACTATCACTGCTGTTCATAGCGGCTCTGCTTTGTTTACAGCGGTAACCAAGGAAACACTGTATCGCTGCTGCTCCATGAGCGCCTCCTGCTGGCAGAGAGTGAATCTGCGTCTCATTCAGAGCTTCTGCTGTTATATGATTTATGTAGCATAATTTCACAAAACTAAACTCAGACCATTCTGTTTTTGCTTCAAAATTATAAAATCTAATTTAAATCAAAAACGGCGCATGTACCTTTGTTTGGATCACGATTAAAATGCAGCGGTTGGCTCTGATTGTAAATGGAAAGAGCACAGGCAAAGCCTTAGTTTGTTTATATGAATGTGTTATTTACTTTTATATGCATTATATGATTTGGGATTTGTTTTAAAATTTCAATTTGGTTTCGTTATGTGACATTTCAATTTCACAAAGAAATGTGCAACATTTTGTCTGAGAAATAATAAAAGGACGTTTCTTTTATCATTTGTCTTAAATCTCATTTTGTTAAACAATCGTGAGAACATCATGAAATCAGTATTGCGAGTTAAATTAATCGTTACATCCCTACTTCTCATTATAACAAAAACACTAACACTGCGTTTAGCAAAGCACCCTTCAAACGAAACCTGAATCGCGGTACAGTTTAGGGCCCTTATCATTAGGGCTGGGACCCGAAACCCAGTATGCACTAGAACCGAATCAGAACACAGATTTCAGTGCCACTTAAATGCTCCAGCGATTGATTGAAATATTTGTTCTCTGGTTCTCCGAAACGGACGTAAGGATCACCGGCACCAAAAAACAGACGTGAACTCAAGTCGGAAAGCTCTAATAATACAAATCCAGCACATCTTTGTAGATACGCGAGTGTCCGTGTTGTGTGTCCAGCACAACTCGGGAAACGAGAGCGTCCGAGGAGCGCGTGAATGCAGTAATTACACTTGCTCTGACGGCAGCAGCTAGCTAAGCTAAGCATTGCTAAATTAAAATGCCTAAAGCTAAACTTCCCTTTTAATGACTTGCAATGAGAAGCGTTTCTATACCTGTTGTCCAACAAAAGAGAACACTATAAAGTTTTTACTCCACAACTGCTTCCATTCGTGATCTGATGTGGCTTAGGGCTGGACGATAATTCAATATCAATATGTATCGCGATATAATTTTTTTCAATAACGGTGATATGATTTTTAAACACATTTCCGATATACATTACCAGTGTTTCCCATACATTGGTTTATTTGTGGCGTTTGACTTCGTTACTGATCCCAAACTTTTGAACGGCAGTGCACTTATGAATCATTGTTTCCCTTTATATTTCAAACTGCAGCTGCAGTACTGTCTTAGGGATAATACAAATATAAAAGTATTATTATTATTCAATTGTTTGGCTTCCTAAAACACCCGTGTGAATGTAATGTGCACTGAGACATCAGCTTTGAGTCCGTGTTAAAATCAATGCAAAAGACTTTTTTCTTGGGTTGCAGCTCTTATACAATAAACCAGGTGACGCAGACTACTGACAGATCCACTAAAACATGTAATGTGCACTGAGACATCAGCTTTGAGTCCGTGTTAAAATCAATGCAAAGACTTTTTTCTTGGGTTGCAGCTCTTATACAATAAACCAGGTGACGCAGACTACTGACAGATCCACTAAAAGCTCCAAAGGGAATGTCCCCCACAGGGCCCGGGGCCCCTCGCCACATACAAGCATTGCATATGCAAACTCACTGCAATCATTCAGATGTAGAAGCGGAGCTTGCAGAGGCAGTCTGCATTCATGATGAGAAACACTGATCACATGGCTGTCCTCATGCTGAGCCCGACCAGCCCTATCACACCGCTGCGCTCAATCAGGTCCGCCTGCACGTTCAGCGTCACTCCAAAAGCGGAGTGTCCACCGGAGGCTAACGGCAGCACCGACACGCGTGCATCACACATCACGACAGACACGAACGAGCCGCGCACAGAGCCGCATGTCGAGCGGACCGCGAACCGAGCAGCGCTACGCCGGAGCCCGAGCCCCAAACACGTGGATCTCACACGTGTCGGCGGAGGAGCGCTCACGCGCGGCTAATACAGCCGAAATCACGAACACGACCGCGTTTCAGATGCTCTGGCGATAAATCGCTGCCCGCTGAGCAGTTCTGGCAGCTGTGTGGCGATAGCGCTCGGTCAGCGGCGGCCTGTCAGACCAGCTCACCGCGACAGGCCGCTAATGCTAATGCTAACCCGATAGCCATTTGTTCAGAAAAGCGGCTGAGGCGAAGAACAGCGGGACGCTCAGCGTCTCTTCGGTAATTATAACGTCAAACAATCCGGTTTGCTGTGCGTCAGCACGTCCTTAAACCAACGCGCTCGAGCAGCCGTGACTCGCAGACCCGAGGCCTATCGTGACGCCGCTGTCATGCGCGTCTGCTGAGGAGAGCTAAACACAGAATAACGCGGACATCTGGCGCCCTGACCAGTGCGAGTCTGAGGCAGAAACACGCCACGCACGGGCCCGGGCCCGGTGTCACCGGCAGCGCTACTGACCGTGCGGCGTTCCTCCGTTCAGCCCGCTCCTCTTCTTCGTCCACGGGTTCACCTTGGGCGGCGGCGCGTCGGTGAGCTCCTTCCGAGAGCCGTCGTCTTCACCCTCCGGGCTGCTGCTCTCGTGTTTCGCGCCTCCGCGCCGCTCCTCCTGCTCCGGGAGCGCGTTGCTCGGTCGGAGAGTCTCCACCTCGGTGGCCATTTCTCCTCACAAACACCTCGAACCCACCGCAATGTGCTGCCAAAAGATCTGCCGCTGGCGCCACTCCACCGCTAGACCAGAGGGCTCGAGTCTGAGACGCAGAGCGAGATTAAAGCACGCGAGAGAAACGCTCGCGCTGCGCGTCGCTGCTTCGGCGGTGTGAAAGAACCACGCGTTGAGCGTGAGCGCGCACGTACGCGCAGCGGGGCGTGGCGACTACAGCGCGCGGCGCCACGTGACTGGCCTCCTGGCTCGCTCGCGCAGCTCGTGACGCTGAACAGGAGGAATTTGTCAAACAAAAATAGCAACGCTTATAAAACAAACAGGATTTTTCTGAATCAAACGTAAGCTGAATTATTAGGTTTGTCTATGATGCAAATTCTGATGCAGTTTATAAACCTTGCTAGTTTACTTCTACTTTTTAAATACTGCAGTACAAGATATTTTTAGTTTCATTCAAATATGCTTTTGGCCAAATATGTTTATTTTTAGAGTGACATTGTGAAAGCTGAAAACAAGTGTTGAGTCCAATTTTCACTGAGTGTCTCTGCTTTCATTTCAAGAATAATGTTTGAGCACTTTTTAAAGTAACTGGAGAAAGAGGGATATGTGTGTGTGTGTGTGTGTGTGAGAGAGAGTCTGTGTGTGTGTGTGTGAGAGAGAGTCTGTGTGTGTGTGTGTGAGAGAGAGTCTGTGTGTGTGTGTGTGAGAGAGAGTCTGTGTGTGTGTGTGTGTTTCCATTGGAACCTTTTATTATGAATGAATTATGGATCAGAAAGAAATGTAGTTTGCCGTGCATGAAAACCGTAGGCGTATCAAAGAGTTTCTGATGATATAGAGATGCTTGTCATTAATGGTGTGCTTCTGCAGCTCTTCTCTGAAAGCTCTGACACGTGTGACACCGTGAGCTCTGTATTGTTGACGCTCTTCAGCAGTGAATTGGCTCCTGGCTCCAGCATAAAAACTCAACTCAGCAGCTGGTCAGCAAATCACATCCTGACGCTTTTACTGTGGATTTGCTTGATAAGCAGTGCATGCTGGGAAGGGCAGCGCAGGCCAAGGGCACTTCAATCCATTCAGCCAACAAACACCAGCATTTCTCACTTCTCATAAGTCTTATTGCTGTTTTTTCAGACTCCCTGACATGTTATTTCTTATAATTAAGGTGCAAGCCCCGAAGATGCTGTGGCTCCTACTGCATCTGTTAGTATTCTTTATTATCATTCTCCCTCTTGTCTTCCCGAATGGGAGTCTATGGCAGCCCTATGAACGGACCATAGGAAAATGATGAAAATTGGCACACTTATTGGGGTAGTTCTCAACAGAACCCTGGCCAGATTTGGGGTCTCTAGGACCAACTCTATAGCGCCACCGCCAGTTCAAATATTCACTTTTCCAACAGTTATAACTTTTGACTTACTAGTTTATCTGATTACTCTCATCACAATCAGTTCATCGATTGAAATGAAACTCAGTATGCTTCATCAGCACCACGATCTGAGGGCAAATTTGAAAGTTGGGAACAGCGCCACCTACAGGTCATGAGATACCAAAAATTGACATTTGCTCATAACTTTTGAACAGTTTTTCGGAAAATCATGATCTTGGTGTCTATGGACTCCTTGGGATGAACCGCCTGTCCAACATTTGTCATATACTGGAATATCTTTTAAACCATTTGACATATTGGCACAAAAATTGGTAGGGATCACTGACAGCAGGTCCCGGAGGTACCTGAGAAGTTTAAACACAGCGCCACCTAGTGTTCCAGCGATTTAAGGGTTTTTGTATAAAAGCTTACAGTGTTGAGGAGTAACTAGTTACATAATTTAATTGCACAATATAGCTGTAATCCATCACAGTTATTGAGAAGAAATGTACTTGAATGTACTGAATATTTTCACACACACACAATTTTTTTTGCTATCTTAGTGAGGACATTGCATAGACTTCCATTGATTTTATATCAGATTAATGATATTATCTATCCCCTACGCCTAAACCCCTCACAGAAACATTTGCAGAACACTAGATTTAAATTAAAACATCTTTTGGTTGATTTATAATCACTGATCTATATATAATATACTGTTATAGATCAGTGTTTATAATCCTTTTTAACTAGTGAGGACCAGTCAAATGTCCTCATTAATGGGTTGTCATGATCTTTCACTATATAAGTGAGGATATTTGGTCCTCACGTCACAGTACACACACACACACACACACACACACACAGATTTATTGATTTCTTTTCCAAATTGCATTGACTGCTCTAAAATATGAGACACCAATGTTTCAGTTCAGGACAGGACATATGCTTATTCAATAACTGTTTTATTTTTATATTTGAGTTTATGTATATGCTTTATTTTTTTAAGACTGGCTGTTTTTTTCCAAGGCATTGTTTGATGCCAATGTTTCCTGACATATTTGCTACGCAAAAGATTTGATTTCAAAAACAGAATAGTTGCTAAAACTATATCTTGTTATGATTTTAAATCTGTATTTAACCTCAGAACGATCTTAAAGTAAAAGAGGTGCTAAAGTCCGATTTTGTGGTGGCTGTGCTTTAAAATTTAAATGATTATAATCTTAATTCTTGAGGATTTTGACAGTAATCAGTGTTGAGTCCTACTGTGAGGTTGACCCTGTCTGGTTTAAATGTTTAGAAATTTAGAAAAGTAATCAAATGTAATACATTACTTTAATAAAGTAGTTGAAATAGTAGTAGTAGTTTTAAATAGGGTAACTTGTACTCACATTTCCAAAGTAGGCTTCCCAACACTGAAAGCTTATAACTCATTGGTTCCCATTGATCTCCACAGTATGGACAAGAGTACAATGGAAGTCAATGGGAACCAAAACTGTTTGTTTACCAGCCTTCTTCAAAATATCTCTCGCACACATACATTTCTGGGCGAACTGTCCCTTTAATTCATTCATAAAAGTCTGATCTATGTAATATCCAAACCTCATGGTTGAGTCTTTTAACCCCACTCTCCCAATGCAGGCTCTCTCTCTCTGATTTAGAGGTCAGTATGTGTGTTCTTCTCTTTACCCTGACTCTATTCAACATTCTCTAACTTATTCTGCATTTTCTTCCCTGGAGTCAGAGCAGTGGAGACTCCAGTCCAGCAGGGGGCGGAAGTGCGACCTGACTCCGCCCACAACAAAGATGGCGCCTCCCGTAGAACACGAGGATTCATGTGAACAAGTACGTTTTATTTGTTAGACAATATCGAGCGTTGAAGGTCCGTCATATATCAGAATCTGTCTTAACATACATGTTCAATAAATCAAAGAGCCTGATAATTAAGCTGTGGATTGCTGAATGCTGCTCATGCTGTGATGTGTCGCTGTTTGAACAGGAGGAGGCTGCAGAGGAGCCCAAAACACCAAAGATCCGAGACACACCAGAGGACATCAAGCTAGAGGCCATTGCCAACACGATCGCATTCCACCCCAGCCAAGACATCCTGGCAGCTGGAGACATTGATGGAGACCTCTACCTGTGAGTGTGAGATCCGCAGGATTGTGTGTTTGTGTTTGGAGTCCAGAGATGCTACAGCTACAGTGATGTTTTCATTTAAATATATTCATCTGATCTAATCAAAACCTATTAGACAGAAACGTTAAGCCGTTTTACAACATAAGTAAGAGTTTTCGTATTTTTAAAGATGTTTTGCAAGTCTGTTCTGCTCACCAAGTGTGCACTCATTTGATTGGAACATAGTAATAACTGTAATATTGTTACAATTTCAAACAGCTGTTTTCTATGTGTGCATGTATGTTAAACTGTAATGTATTTCTGTGATGCGCAGCTGTATTTTCAGCATCATTCCTCCAGTCTTCAGTGTCACATGATCTTCAGAAATCAGTATAATATGCTGATCTGCTGCTCGAGAAACATTTCTGATTATTATCAATGCTGAACACATTCATATTTTTGTGGAAACTGATGCATTTTATTTTTCAGGATTCACAGATGAACAGAAAGTTCAGAAGAACAGCATTTATTTGAAATAGAAATCTCCTGTGACACTTTTGATCAATTTAGTGCGTCCTTGATGAATAAAAGTATTATTGTTATTTTGTAAAAATCACACTTAGCCCAAACTTTTGAATGATAATCACTGATAATAAAGCAGCATATTATACTGATTTCTGAAGATCATGTGACACTGAAGACTGGAGTAATGATGCTGAAAATACAGCTGCGCATCACAGAAATACATTACAGTCTAACACATATTCACATAGAAAACAGCTGTTTTAGATTCTAATAATATTTCACAATGTTACTGTATTTTTGAACAAATAAATGCAGCCTTGATGAACAGAAGAGACAAAAAACTCAGCTCGGTGAGTGCTATCGATATAAACATTTTAAAACTAAAGAAGGATTTATCAGCTCTTATCCCGTAACAGGAGAAGGATTCTGCTCCGAGTGTTAATGCGGTCTAGGTTCAGCAGAAACTCACGGACTCTGTGATTTGCAGATTCTCGTACTCCTGCGCTGAAGGAGCAAACAAAGAGCTTTGGTCATCAGGACATCATCTGAAGTCCTGCAGGAAAGTGCTGTTCTCCGGCGATGGACAGAGTCAGTGTTTGCGTCTCCTTTCATTGCTTCGGTGTCGATCAGTTCTTCACTTGTCTCTCCAGTGACTCTCTCCTCTGTGTTCCTCAGAGCTCTTCAGCGTGTCTAAAGACAAGGCCGTTCACATCATGGACGTGGAGGCTGGGAAACTGCTGACACGCATCCCCAAAGCTCACAAGTACCTGATGTTCCTGTTCATGTCTTAAACAGCCGTTCTTGAAGATTTATAAGAGGAAAGCTGATGGAATGTTCTTTGAACAGTGAAGTCATTGGTGTTTTTGATATTTTTTCGAGGGCCCCCATCAACGCCCTGCTGCTGGTGGATGAGAATATCTTTGCGACGGGCGATGACGAGGGAATGCTGAAGGTCTGGGACGTGAGGAGCGGAACCTCGTTCATGGATCTGAAGCAGCATGAGGATTTTATCAGTGATATCACCATCGATCAGGACAAGCGGACCCTGCTCACTTCCAGGTGCTGTCTCCAGCCTCGCCGCTTACGCTCGCTTTCCTTAAAGGAGACATATTATGCCCCTTTTTACAATATGTAATATAAGCCTCTGGTGTCCCCAGAATGTGTCTGTGAAGTTTCAAACGTCACTAGGGGAGCTAAATCTGACGCGCTCGTTTTCTCAGACGCTTGCAGAAAAAGGCTTCCCAAAATAAAGTTACTGGGTTAATCTTTTTCACGTTTCCTTGGTTGGTAGATGCACCGGGGACCTGATTATAGCACTTAACACCTGGAAAAGTCTTTCTTTCTTTTAAAAGAAATGCCGCTTGCTTTGACGTCTTATGTGATGCAATGCCTTTCCTACGTTAGGTGTGATAAGTGTGCAAACTGATGTTTGATTGGATGATATCATGGTGTGTTTGTGACTTTGTTTCATTTGCAGTGGCGACGGCACGATGGGTGTGTTCAATATAAGAAGACGAAGATTTGAACTGCTTTCCGAGTTCCAGAATGGAGATCTTAACTCTGTTTGCATTATGAAAGTGAGTCTAAACAGCGTCAGTATAGTGCTAATGAACCATTTCAGACACAATCTGACTTCACATTCACTAGTCGCTTCGGGTAAATAACTAGAAGATTAACAGAGAACGGTAAACGGTAAGGCATTGGTGCTACAAACCATATGATTATAGACATAAAATAGCAGTTTGCAGCATAATAGACTGTTTTTAGAGTGACTGAGAAGCAGGTGACACGGGAAGACTCTCACATTCAAGGAACAAAGGCTGATAATGCAGTTTTAATCATGAAAATCCTCTTTGTTTGCCACACAGAGAGGCCGTAAGGTCGTTTGTGGATCCGGCGAGGGCAAAATCTACATTTTTAACTGGAATGGTTTTGGTGCCACCAGCGACCGGTTTGCGGTTCAGGCCGAGTCCGTGGATTGTATCGTGCCGATCACTGACAGCATTCTGTGTGCCGCCTCCACCGACGGAGTCATCAGGTGAACAGCTTCTCATTTTTATAGACCTTAAACTGTAATGTATTTCTGTGATGTGCAGCTGTATTTTCAGCATCATTCCTCCAGTCTTCAGTGTCACATGATCTTCAGAAATCAGTATAATATGCTAATAGTTATGGTTCTTAGTGTGAACGTGCCTCAACTCGTTAACAGCACTGTTCAGATTTTTATCATTACACTTTATTTGCTCTGTTTTATTTTGTGAAACCTTACTACGTATATGGAATAACCGTTTTATAAAAGCAATAAGCTCCGTGAAGTTGTGGGGCTTATTGCTTTATTAAAACATGTCAATCAAAATCTTTCCTACAGACACTGATATAGTTAGTGTTATAGTTTTGGTTGTACTCCGGATGCACATCTCTTCTCTTCTGCAACTAATGCTTCAGTCCTCCGTCCGCAGAGCTGTGAGTGTCCTGCCGAACCGTGTTCTGGGCAGCGTCGGGCAGCATGCCGGCGAGTCCATCGAGGAGATCGCGAGATCCAGAGACACACGCTTCCTCGCCAGCTGCGCTCACGACCAGCTCGTCAAGTTCTGGGACATCTCCAGCTTACCAGACACCAGAGTCAGCGATTACCGGCGGAGAAAGAAGAGAGACCGACGCCTCAAAGCTCTGAGTAATAAAGCTTTCGACACGGGACAGGATTTCTTCGCCGGACTTTTAGACTCAACTGAAGAAAACAGGAATAAAGAAGATGAAGAGGAGGAGGAGGAGGAGGACAGTGACAGCGGGAGCGACTGAAAATACTTAACTCCTGCAATACTGTGTTGCCATTTCTATATTTCATGTATATTTTCTGAATCTGTTTCACTCACACGCACACATTAAATTATATGCCATTACACATCTGTATTTGTATAATATATCATTTAGAATACATGCTGTGCTGTCATAAACTTTGTTACATTCTTTGCCCAAGAAACATAAAATAACACGTTCACATGAAACAGACAGTATTTGAAACAAACGTTTCTTTGTGACCCTGGAGCACAAAACCAGTCATAAGGGTCAATTTATTTAAATTGAGATGGATGCATCATCTGAAAGCTGAATAAATAAGCTTTCCATTGATGTATGGTTTGTTAGGAGAGGACAATATTAGAAAATCTGGAATCTGTATATTGAGAAAATCATCTTTAAAGTTGTTCAAATGAAGTTCTTAGCAATGCATATTACTAATCAAACATTAAGTTTTGATATATTTACGGTAGGAAATGTACAAAATATCTTCACGGAACATGATCTTTACTTAATATCCTAATGATTTTTGGCATAAAAGAGAAATGTATAATTGTGACCCATACAATGTATTGTTGGCTATTGCTACAAATATCCCCCAGCGACTCAACACTGCTTTTGTGCTCCAGGGTCACATATTGTGTTTCGTTTACTTCTACTAACTCCTCTAGGGAGCACAGCACTAGTCACTACAATACATTTTTTCTTTGCATTTGAGGTGCAAAATTTAATTGTAATTGAATTTCAACACAAACGTGTAGTAGCTTATTTATTTCAACAAATTTGGAAAGCAAACCACGTATTCAGAATATTTAAAGGTATAGTTTTGCACAATAAATGTAAAAATGCATGGACATACGGTACAGTGGAGCCCAAGGATGTGATGTTTCTGTTTATATTTGGGAATTACAGAACTATTTTCTAGTTCCCAAACCAGATCTGTGGCTCTTGTACTGACTGTCAGATTTCCCGGATTCAGAACATTTTCCATAACAGATCTGAATAACAGAAATGCTGAAATTCATGGTTGTAATAATTATAGAAGCAGCACCCAAGAATTAATCTGAGATCTTTAATGTTTCGCTAATCTTTACTGTGGCTGATTTAGTCAAAATGATCTTTATATGAAGCCATTCTTAGGTTGACGTCGTGTCTTGATTTGGTCGAGATCTCCAGGGTTTGGTTGGATTTTCTTTAAAAGATCTCTGATGAAACCTTTAATCCCAAACTCAAATCCGTCCACTAACACAGATGCGGCTGAGAGCGAAGCTGATTGGCTACTCGAGACTGACCGGAGTAGATGGCATGTTTTTGCCTCGTTCGGGGAAAGAAACAAAAGCTGCCCCCTCGGGATCAATCATCAGAACGTCTCCATTCTTGCTCTCATCTTTCACAAGAACAAGAAAGGCCTTGGCAACAACATCAGCCCTGCGATGAAAACACAATTATATGACCGTACAAAGCTTTCTCAGTTCTGATGTTAAACTCAAACCCTTGCTTTATCTGTCACGTGTCTCTCCCCTGATATGAAGGATTGTTAACTCACTCCAGACAGCCGTGGTTCTCCAGCATCGTGTCTGCAATACCCTTCAGTGGAAAGAAACTTCCAATATGCTCTTCTGAACTCATGACGGACAGAAGACTGGTCTTCACAAACCACGGACAGAGAACGTTGATCCTCACCCCGTAGTTAGCCAGCTTGGAAACGGCCTGTTGATGAACAATTAAAGAAAAAACTCAAAAGACTTTCTCTTTCACAAAACAAAACGTGATGCTTTATATGTAAAATACGTACTGCCATGGCACGACTGAATCCCACCACGCCGTGTTTAGTTGCTGTGTAGATGGGCGCCATCGGCAAAGGCCCCAAACCTGCGGCCGACAGGCGAGGATTCAGTCAACACATGGCTTTATTACAGCAACAGATCAAGCCATTATTTAGGCATTTACCTAAAAAATGTTCTCAGTGGGTTTTTTTGGGGTCGAAAACAACTTTGGACCCCATTGACTTACATTGTAAAAACAAAAGCAGCGGAAACATTCTTTAAAGTATCTTCATTTGTGCCCAACAGATGAAAGTCAGTCGTACTGGTTGAAATAACATGAGGTAAACGAGTACGTTTCATTTTTAGATAAACTATCCATTCATCATAGGTTTACGAAATTGCTTTGGCTCAATTCTCAAACGAGAGGTTTTTTTCTGATGTTTCTTGTTCACATCAGATTTGAATTTCTTACAGATTTAGATGTGTTATGGCACGTGTGTGCAAAAGAGAAGTACGATTGTCTACAATTTGTACATTAACTAAATGCACATGGCTTGTCAAAACTGATGAGTTGATTCTCAGTGGAATTGTCAAACTCTTCACAACTTGCCATCACATGCAAACTGATCCATTCAGTCATCAGACGTGTGTATACTCCATAGATATCTGACACGGGACGGTTGTGATGTCTGCTAAGTTGGGAAATGGCTTGCCATTAGTGTTGCAAAGGGCAGAAACTTTCCAGGATTTTTTTGGAAACTTTTGGGAAAACTTTGCAAACCTACTTGCCATTGTAATGAAGTACGAATCACAATCAGTCAAGTTTGGAAGCATATCTATGGAGTTTGCCCGCTACAATAACTACTATTTCAGAACGAGGAGGAACGTCATAACCCTAAACAGCAGCAGCTACAGCACTACTGTATGAATACATTTATATTTGTACAGTACATTTATCTGTAGAAATGTGTTCCATGTAAACTGTGAAAATTGATACTTGCTTGTCGTGAAAGAGGAAGTCATGTAAGAATGTGCGGTGGAGCTGAAGACAGTAGACAGTGTGTGTGAAAATGATTAAGCAATGGTGTTACAGTTTCAGACATTGTGCAGATTAATACAAGTTAGATGGGATGCAATTTTAGGATGCAGTCAAATGTTGATGAAAGAGATGAGTCGCTTGAAAACGGTCAGAGGTTCAGCATTCCAGATGAGGGTGGGCAGATCATTCCACCTGCCAGGAACGGTGAATGGAAATGTTCTGGAAAGTGATTTTGTGCCTCTCTGTGATGGAACCACGAGGCGTCGCTCACTTGTACATCTCAGGCTTCTGGAGGGGATGTAGATTCGAGTGAGTGGAAGTAGGAGGGTGAGGAGTCCGTGGCTGTTCTATATGCAAGCATCAATGACTTGAACTTGATGTGAGCTGCAACCAGTAGCCAGTGCAAGGAGATAAAGAGAGGTGCCCTTTTGGGCTCATTGAAGACCAGTCGTGCTGCAGCATTCTGAATCATTTGAAGAGGTTTGATTGCACATGATGGAAGTCCAGCCAGAAGAGCATTGCAGTAGTCCAGCCTAAAAAATGACAAGGGCCTGGACAAGACGTTGTGTTGCATGCTCTGTTAGAAAGGGCCTGATCTTTCTGATGTTGTGCAATGCAACCTGCGGTTTTTGCAATGTGGTCTTTGAAAGTCAGCTGGTCATCAAAGATTACACCAAGATTTCTGACCGAACTTGATGGGGTAGTGGTTGATTAACCTAGCTGGATGGTGAAATCATGCTGTAGAGTCGCAGTGGCACAGACAAAACAGACTGCTTTCTATACTATACAAGAGTGTCAGTCAACAAAAATAGAACATTTGCATATAACAAGATTGAATTTGCGTATACCATGAAATGAAACCTGCATATAACAAATATGTCCATGTTGAAAAAAACAACAACATTTTTTTTTGAGCAGTGTGGCTCACACCATGACAAAAATCAAGTCACTGACACAATAACTAGGTTTTGAAGCATGAATTAAATGTTTTGGGTGAGTTATTACATTTTGCAGACATGCAATACAGTTCTGATGTTCCAGCAAACAGTTGTGACAATTGCACTTACAGTTTAGAGAATGTTAAGACTGTTTCGAAAAATGTGCTAAAGCGATTGAGAAAAACTGTAATTGTTTAATCTGTGTTTATTTTAAACAGAGACGGTATCAAACCTGCCATAGATGAAATGTTGACAATGACTCCTCCATTGCCACTGTTTTCCTTCTTCATATGTTCTAGAGCGAGATACGTTCCTCTGACCACTCCACCCTGAGACGAGTACAAAACACCTTCAGCTGAAAACACAGACAGATGACCAGACAGATAGACAGACGGACACACAGACAGACAGACAGAGAGACAGATGGATGGACAGATAGACGGACAGACAGACAAACAGATGGATGGACAGACAGACAGACAGATGGACAGACAGAGAGACAGACAGACAGATGGACAGACAGAGAGACAGACAGACAGAGAGACAGATAGACAGACGGATGGACAGAGAGACATACGGACGTACAGACACACACACACACACACACACACAGACAGATGATGGACAGATATACAGACAGACGAACACACAGACATACGTACAGACAGACAGACGGATGGACAGAGAGACAGATGGATGGACAGACAGATGGATGGACAGACAGAGAGACATACGGACACACACACACACACACACAGACAGATGATGGACAGATACACAGACAGACGAACACACAGACATACAGTACGTACAGACAGACAGAAAGAGAGACAGACAGGCTCACTCATACCAGGTTGATTGCTATAGTCTTTTCCCAGTGCTTTTCATTGATGATCCCTGCGTTGTTGCACAAAATGTCTATGCGGCCAAATGTTCCAACAATTTTTTCCAAAACTCCTGTAAGGAAAAACTTAAAACATTCAGAGCATATCCACACTCTCTTTTCCTGCTCTTATAATTATGTCACTTGAGTAATAGTTCAGACTTATTATGCGTCCTCCAGAAGCTTGCGTTCTGCAAGTGAACAACGCCAAAGAGGCACAACATCCCTCTCACAGACCTTTGTCTGGACTGTTCCCAGCTTTGAGTCTTTAGCCATTTTCAAAAAACCTCTAAAGACACATCGTCAGCACCTGTCCAATTAATACTAGCACTATTCTATTCTATTCGCTCTAATTTATTTAAAATAAAAAAACATTACAACTCTTCATTGAGGTATTATCATGAGGCATCTTTCTGGGTAGGTGTGTGTACACACGTGTATGTCAAAGATGAATTTCTGTTCAGGACAATAAAGTTAAACTAAACTAAACTAAATGATTAAAATGTTAATGTAAATGAGTAATAGCGGCATTGTGACATTGTAAGCCATCAGTCAGAGGCTCATGTAATCATTCATAGACAATATAACATCTCTGAAGTTTCGAAAGACCTTTAAAGTCTTCCTCTGATGAGACGTCGGCCGTGTAAAACTCAGTCCTGTCTCGTCCATACTCCTGATCAAGTGTGCTCTTCAGTTCATCTCCCAGCGATTTATTCACATCGATTAAAGCCACCTGTAATCAAGTGCATCAGTGTGAGCTATTACAGTAAAGGACTGTGAAATACAGAACGGTAGCAAAGCAGGTTCTCAATAAGGATGACTTTTAGGTTGTACTATAAATATATTGACATGTAGCCTTTTTTAATATAAGCAGATGTTTTGTATTTATTCTCTCAATGTGTATTTTACATTTTAATAGTTAGAATATGGATTTGAAAACAGGACATCTGAAGAAATAACAGCATTAACTAAAACACGATCAGATCTGACACCCAGGAACAACTCCGCTTTTAAAACGCTTTTATACCACGGGGCTGTTGAATGCTTGAATCTGATTGGCTGACGAGCGTTCTGAGGCGTGCAGTTATTTTCAGGGAACGCACGGCGAACGTAGTTCCAGGCAGCTCTCTTGACCGCATTACAGCTCCATATCACTCCGCATAGTTTACTGTAATAACGGAACTTAGCATACAGTACCTACATACATACAGACGCACAGAGCTAGCCTAATTCACACAAGCTCTCTTTCTAATAACTTCATTAATAACTGCATTAGAATGCTATCAACCCTCCATTACCAGCTTTAAACTGAGGTTTTGGAACTAGCAAAAGAGGCATTGGATGAGATGCGGAAGAAATAATCCTACTCACAATAGCGATTTAAGTACAAAAACTGGACGAATCCCTTTAAATATATCATCTGATCGATGTCTTGTGGTAACCATAGTATAAGCGGAATAATTGACTCCGGGCCGTTGAATTATTAGAAAATAACGCACATCCGCTTTGCATCAGCACCTCGGGTATGCATTATTTTTTTAATAATTCAACGGCCCGGAGTCAATTATTCCTTACTTCAACTTTGACTCCATTTGACGCCCATCTTTCTTATCGCTGCCAGTTCTGACCAGACTTAGATCTGAATTTTGATGAACAGACATGATTTAGCCGGTTTACTTTTTTCCAGATGTTTTTTTTCAACGCAACAAGATGTTTTTTAAACGGTTAAACGTTAGAAGGATGCCTCATTAAGTGTTTAATAATACACTTTTTTCAACTATTCCTAGGACAGTGTGAAACTATCCAGTTTCGCATTTATGGACACTTTTTTTTCGACATGCATCGCAAACTCGTGTATTTGTCATTCTGTAGCGTGCGTTGGTTTGACGCGGAGCTCAAGGCGGCGCGTTGAAGCCCTGACGCGAGCCTTTAGAGCAGTGTGTTTTATAAGATCATACTTTTACTAAATGCAAGCACGAAAGGGTTTATAGAATTATTTGTTTAAATGCATTTACTTTACCTTTGCTCCGTTTCTCAGGAGTATTTCCACAAAGCTCCTGCCCAAACCCTGAGCTGCTCCGGTCACTACACACACTTTATCCTTCAGATCCATCACAACCTGCCAGAGGAACAGCGATACAGTCAGAGGAACAGCGTTACTGTCAGAGGAACAGCGTTACTGTCAGAGGAACAGCGTTACAGTCAGAGGAACAGCGTTGCTGTCAGAGGAACAGCGTTACGGTCAGAGGAACAGCGTTGCTGTCAGAGGAACAGCGTTACGGTCAGAGGAACAGCGTTACGGTCAGAGGAACAGCGTTACTGTCAGCGGAACAGTGTTACTGTCAGCGGAACCACGTTATAGTCAGAGGAACAGCGTTACGGTCAGAGGAACAGCGTTACGGTCAGAGGAACAGCGTTACTGTCAGAGGAACAGCGTTACTGTCAGAGGAACAGCGTTACTGTCAGAGGAACAGCGTTACTGTCAGAGGAGCAGCGTTACTGTCAGAGGAACAGCGTTACTGTCAGAGGAGCAGCGTTACTGTCAGAGGAACAGCGTTACTGTCAGAGGAACAGCGTTACTGTCAGAGGAACAGCGTTACTGTCAGAGGAGCAGCGTTACTGTCAGAGGAACAGCGTTACGGTCAGAGGAACAGCGTTACTGTCAGAGGAGCAGCGTTACGGTCAGAGGAGCAGCGTTACGGTCAGAGGAACAGCGTTACTGTCAGAGGAACCGCGTTATAGTCAGAGGAACAGCGTTACAGTCAGAGGAACAGCGTTACTGTCAGAGGAACAGCGTTACGGTCAGAGGAACAGCGTTACTGTCAGAGGAACAGCGTTACGGTCAGAGGAACAGCGTTACTGTCAGAGGAGCAGCGTTACAGCGCAGCAGCTCGACGCCACTAGACCAGAACGCGTCCGGCTGTTGTTGAGTGGATGTGTTATCCACATGGATGCATTGATGCTGCTACAAACCTTTCCCCAAATTATCCCAAACACTTTCCCACCAAAATCACACAAGCAGAAGAACACATCAGCATTACTTACCTGTTGCGCGAGAGCTGCGTCTAGTGACTAACTAGCGCTGTAAAGCTCAGAGGCACGGGTGAGAGGGAGGAGTTACAGAGGTTCTGTGCACGGGTGTGTTCAGCTTTAGAGTTCTTATAAAACACTTGATAATCAAACCTGCGTATTATAAACATATAAACACATTTTAATTTATTTTTGTGCATTGCCCACCCAGATCCCAGATTTTCATTTCACACATACATCACCATAAACTCAAGCATGCATATATATATACAGTACTGTGCAGAAGTCTTAGGCTACTAGTATTTTCACCACCAACAAAAAAATGGTTTTAAGTCAGTTATTTCTCTCTTTTGCTGTAGTGTGTCAGTTGGAGATATCAGTTTACATTCACAAACATTGCTTTTGCCATTAACTGTAATAATGCAGTGATATTTTTGTATGTTTAGCAGTCTGACAGCAGCCAGTGCTGCACACAGAGATCTGATCACATGAGATTACATGAAGAAACTGAGACAGACTCTTGAATAAACCTCCTGCAAAGCTCCCTGAAAAACTATGCACACATGACACACGCAAAGGGTGCTCACACACCAAATGTTGATTTGACTTAGTTATTAGAAGTTCACTGATAAATAAAATCAATTTATAACATTCATTTTGAAAGCATCCTCACTTTGCAGCATTTTTACACAAGTGCCTGTAGCTTTTATTCACACTGCCTGTGTTTACAAACCAGTGGTTCCCATGATGCAACAGTGAAATGTACTGTCTGTCTCAGAAACTGACCAGCCTCAGCTGTGAGTGATTATGCTCCACTTCCAGGAAAGAGAGCAAAACAAGGAGCTTGGTGATGATAATTGACAACAGACGTAATGTTTAAGGCAGAGTAAAGGAGAGTCCAGTCATTTTGGTAACTTAAAGAGCTCTAACAGGCTGCTTTGGATAAAGGTGTCTGAGAAATATGCAAATCTGAATGTAAATTCATCAAATGGAATTTGAATTGAAATGACCACAGATGGAGTTGATTTGGAATGACAGGAAGAGTGCAGTTCCAATAAATTCACACAACACAAGTTTTGCAACAGTGCAAAAATAATTGCATCAATAGTTTATTATTACACCCTTTAATTCTCTGCTGTGTACTAGAAAGTAAGCACACACTCACACACACACACAGACACGCACTTACTCACACACACACACTCACTCACTCCCACACACATACACTCTCACACTCACTCACTCACACACACACACACACACTCACTCACATACACACACTCACTCACATACACACACTCACTCACACATACACACACACTCACTCACAATCACACACACTCACTCACACACACACACACACACACACACACACACACACACACACACACACACACACTCACACACACACACACAC